GGAAAAAGTACCTTAGTAGTACTACGTAGGTACCGGTAGTTTCACAACCCACAACCCTCTGCTGGAACTCCTATTGAAGAAGAGCACAGACAAGAGTTCCCTGGTATCCTTTCCATCCAACTGGGACGAGAGCCAAGCAGCTACTCTTCCCCTCAAAATTATATATGTATATATATACATATACATATACATATACATATACATATACATATCCATATCCGTATCCATATCCATATACCGGTCATACATATACCGGTACATAGGTATACATATATAGGCACGTATACGGAGCTATACCTCTTGACCTCTTGACGCACCCGGGTCGGTTGATAACCCACCCCCCCCCCCCAACCACTACACTCCCTGCCCCTCCTACCTCAGACTTCCTCCCACAGCACCCAGCTGCCTTTGACACTGTACCTACTACCTATCTCTCTAGAAGATGGCTCCCCTCAACCGCATCATCATCGACACGGATCCTGGTTTGTTCCCCTTCTCCAACACATCTGCAGTATCTATCTATCTATCCATCTATCTATCTATCCATCTATCCATCTATCCATCTATCTATCTAGCGAACAACAAACCCCTTCTAACCACCCGGGTCCAGGTGTCGATGACATCCTAGCCATCCTTTTGGCTCTTGCAGCTAAGCCAGATGAGCTGGAGATCCTGTTGCTGTCTATCACCTACGGAAACGTCGAGGTGGAAAGGTATGTCCCGCTGTTGCTTGCTGGCAGTCTTGATACTAATAATTCAGCTGCCTCCGCAATGCCGTTGCCCTCTTCCATGTCATCGAGAAAGAGAGAGAATGGCGAAGAGCTCGTGGCCAGCTCGAGGGTTTCGAAGCCATGATCGAGTCAAAGCCTCTTGTGGCTATAGGACCCGAGCATCCCTTGGAGGAGACCATTCTGATGGCAGATTACTTCCGTATGTTCTCGACACCTCTCGTCCTGCACCGCATGTATCTCGAGTCCAGCGGTGATTCCAGTGGTGATCGCCTCTAGCCTTTATACAAGTCTAGAGGCGTTGTATCTTGTTTCTTTCCCTCTGTATTTCAGTATATGGGTCTAAAATTCTCCCTCAGACGGCGCTGATGGCTTGGCTGGCGTCCATACTTCGGTGCGTCGATACCTCAAAAGCTCCAGATGCTGTGCTGACTCAGATAGCACCCTCACCTATCTCCATCCGAAACCTGGAAGACTCTGTTCCAACCTCTTCAGGCCGGTGCCACCGCGGAAGAGGTAGCAGCGGCTAGAGAGCTTGCAACTCCATCCTCTTCATTCCGAGCTTCTCAGCTCCCCGCTCACAAGGAAATTCTTCGCCTCCTGCAGGAGAACCCTCGTGATACCATCACCATCGTTGCTGTTGGACCATTGACCAACCTGGCTTTGGCAGCAGCTGAAGATACTGAGACTTTCCTGAGGGTCAAGGAAGTCGTTGTGATGGGCGGTGCAATTGATTGTTCGGGTAACATCACTCCTGTTGCCGAGTTCAACACTTTCGCCGATGCTGTGGCTTCTGCCCGTGTATTCGCTCTCACTTCTCAGATTCCGGCTTCGACCATGCCGCCAGTACCGAAGGGCATCCAGTCACTGCCTCCGTACCCAAAGAATCTCTCAAGACAACTTAATCTAACTCTGTTCCCGCTTGACGTTACGACTCCCCACGCACTTCATCGATCTCTCGTCTCGGCTAAACTGAACCCTTTAATCAAGGCTGGCAGTCCTCTTGCAGAGTGGACATCTGCATTCGTGCACAAGACACTTGACAATATCGAGAGTCGGACCGTAAAGCAAGCAGACCCAGGACTTGAACTGCATGATCCCTTGTGCATCTGGTACATGCTCACCCGCTCTGCTCCCTCCTGGATGTCAGCACCCAAGGCCCCTGAAGACATCCGAATTGAGGTATCAGGCCAGTGGACTCGGGGAATGCATTTGGTAGATCGAAGACAGAGAAAGAAAGGCAAGGCTTCCTCCCAAAAAATCAAGAATCCAGGAGCGATTGACATTATGAATCCCATGGAGACATTGACCCCTACACATCCTGACGAAAGTAAGGATGAGGATGCGCCAGGCGACCATCACAGCTGGCTCCACCCGGATAAGGGAAACAGAATCAACAGAATCGTTTCCTCACCCGGAGAGGATGCCTTTGGACCTTACCTTCTGGAGCGCATCTTCGGATAGACATGACTTTAGATTGATTTTGCTTTGCGACATGAGTGAACAGGAGGAATATGAATTATTAATGGGTAGCCTTGCGACCACTACACGCACATCACACATGTGGCGACGGACACATGAGCTTTGAAGTAGATGTGCGGGAATCAGAAAACTTTTATGAGAATCTTGAGTGAGTGAGAAGTCTGTTTTGGCTCGCTTACACTCCTTCACAAACCAAGTGTGGCCACCAACTGGTCTGTCTATATCATTGTACCGCTTCCAAGTTGCAACATTGAACAGGCGACTACGCAATTGCAAATCAAGACTCCAGTACTTGAGCAACAAATTTTCTCTTGGGCCATGGCACTATCAAAATTCCACACCAGATTGCTGTGCACTTGCCCACCAAACTCCCGAGCTAAAGTCCCAAGACATTCCATTGCATTGTCCGAACTATGTCAAATACCAAGCCAGTTCCACCGCCCAAACGCCCTGTATACAACAGTATTGATCGTTGACCCTGTCTCTCATGATATCTCCTCATCTCCAAGACCCAGATTCTCATCCCCCCTCACGAATGCTTGACACCTCCGACAACAGCTCCCCTGACCTGCAGCCAGTCGATAGTATCGTCCATTTCCTCATCCACTAGGCCCACGACCGCGACATTGTCTCCCCTGATCAGATACAGTCCATGCGGAACCTCGCTCGATGGCTCAGGGTCATCCGGAGGTCGGATAATGCGCTCGATGGTTTGGGAGAGGACCTTTACGGCTTGTTAGATTTCCATGCGAACAATTATATACAAATGATGGAGTAGGGTTTTGGGGGAAATGGAAAGAAATTCAGTTTCGGAGGCTGGAAGAAGGGACATACCAAGTTCGTCTGTTGATCGCACGAGAGCAGCGTCCCCACTAGCGTCCTGGAATCGCTCGTCAAGACTAACACCTTCTCTAGCCAGCTGTCAGAATGGGAGCTGTAAGCTATGCCAACACGGGGCGCGTACGTGCAGGGAGAGTGTCTTACTGTTAACATAGCCGTGGAGCGACATGGCTGGGTCGCAGTCGCTGCTGCTGGCTGACCCGCGTGAGGAGATTTACCAGTACAGCTTGGGCGATTGTACGGAAATAACTCGTGTATCGGAGAAGAGTAAATGGTGCTGGGATGTTCGCCGTTGAGGGATAGACATCGGTGGTTGTGAGCTTCCAGAATTCCCAGCACGGACATTCTGTCTCCGTGCTGAAAGGCTGAGTTGGAGCCTTGTTCCTTGGAGGAACTGCCTCGCTTGTTGACGACAGCGGCCTAGGTAGGTACGAGCTGTTGAGCTCCCCCAGCATCGACCATCCACTCTACTTGAGTTGCGCTTCTCACAACACTCACCCCCCGCAACCAATCCATTTCGGAGGCAACGATAGGAAAGTGGTCGCTGATATGTCGTACTTCTTTACAACGCCGGTGGATATCGATATCGTACTGGACGATGGCGACGACAGGCAGATGGTGGACATGAAGACGGAGAAGGGCCGGCGGGAGAAGGCACCTCTATACAAGGACGGGGAATCGGTCAAGGGCGCCGTGACGATCCGACCGAAGGACGGCAAACGGTTAGAGCACACGGGCATCAAGGTGCAGTTCATCGGCACAATTGGTAAGTTTTGCGTACCTAGCTGTGGGAAGCTTGCGCCTCAAGCAATAGGATGGTCTGGCTGACCAGCTACCATAGAGATGTTCTTCGATCGAGGAAACCACTACGAATTCCTTTCCCTGGGCCAGGAGCTAGCTGCCCCGGGGGACCTGCAACACCCTCAAGCCTTCGACTTCAACTTCAAGAACATCGAGAAGCAGTACGAGTCCTACAGCGGCATCAACGTGCGGCTCCGCTACTTCGTGCGCGTGACGGTCTCGCGGCGTATGGCCGACGTGATCAGGGAGAAGGATATCTGGGTCTACTCGTACCGGATACCGCCCGAGATGAACAGCTCCATCAAGATGGACGTTGGCATCGAGGACTGCTTGCACATTGAGTTTGAGTACTCGAAGTCCAAATACCACCTGAAGGACGTTATTGTTGGACGCATATACTTCCTGTTGGTCAGGCTGAAGATTAAGCATATGGAGCTGTCAATCATAAGAAGGGAGACTACGGGTGCGGCTCCCAATCAGTACAATGAGAGCGAGACGTTGGTTCGGTTTGAGGTAGGTTAGGCGCTGACGAGTTATGCCTGAGTTCTTGCTGACTAGAAGTAGATTATGGATGGTTCTCCGTCCAGAGGAGAGACAATTCCAATTCGACTTTTCCTAGGAGGTTTCGACTTGACCCCAACATTCAGGGAAGTCAATAAAAAATACTCTACAAGATATTACCTCAGTCTCGTACTAATCGACGAAGGTTTGTCTTGCTGTCTTTCTAATTCTATAATGCTTAAGCCAAACGGAAACTGATAATTGTAGACGCACGACGTTACTTCAAGCAATCAGAAATTGTGCTCTATCGTCAGGCACCCGAGATCGCAGCGAGCGCTGGCCAGCAAACACAGATTACGGGAGCGCCACCCCCAGAAAGGACCCCAGTGGCGCAGGCCTAGATTATAAGATAGAAAGTGGAGGAGTAATGGAAAGACTTGCATTTCCCGATTGTAACATAGACTCGCCAGCCCCCTTTCTGTGGCGCGGAAATAATGATTCAAACCGGTCAAACTCACCATTTGGTGCGGATGCTACCCGAGTACGACCGCCAGGAAATTGATGCGTAAAACCTGCATATGGTAGGTAACATTTTAGATCACATTCAATGATCAAACTGGTCACTTCCATTTCGTACTATGCTAGTCTCGAGGGATCTCCAATCCATTATACACAAGCTAGCTCTCACCACCTAGCTCTCAAAGAACTCCCAAAGACGCCTCCGCTATTTTCCCCACGACCCAGCTCTACCCACCTCTGCTAGCAGGACCAAAAAAATCAATCATAAAACGTCCATCTCATCGCCGCCGCCAAATGCGAACTGGTTATTCGCAATAGCCGCGAGGCGATCGAGTTCCGCTTGGTATGCCCTCCTCACGTCATCCAGCGTGACCACGTGTCTCTTGGGCGGCGTCTTCTTGCAGTTCACGCCAGCCGTGCTGGACTTGCGTGGGAGCTCTTCCGACAGGATCCAGGCTTGCTTAGGATCGACGCAGCTCAGGGCATTGATGAGTGCGACGTACTGCTTTGTGACGGGTGTCTCGAGGCCTCCGTCTCCAATAATCTTGTCCCCGTCCCCGGACTGCTGTAAACGCTGCAAGCGCTCGAGGGAGATGGCGGCCGCGCCTCGGAAATCGCTGTGCTTAATGCGCCACGCATACAGAATCTTGTGGTAGGGAATGCCGTTATTGACTTCCACTATGCTCTGGCACTTCTGGCGAAGGATGTCGTCGACGTTTTCTTGGAGGCCAAGAAAGGGGAGGTCGATGAGTTGGGAGGCGCAGGATGCTTCGCACATCTTGGTGACTAGGATGCGGAGGGAGGATTGTTGGAGTGCGCTATCGGTGAATAGACACAGGGTAGAATGGGCAAGTTCGTAGCGGGATGTTTGGATGGCGGCACTGAAGAGCCGACTATGCATGTCTTTCCGAATCCGGGTCAAATACACATCCTCGTGACCGACTCTAAAAAATTGAAGAGTGAGTCGGGCGAAATCGATAACGTATGAGTAGTTCTTCTCCTTTTCGAAGAGTGCAACTATATGGGAGTAGTATTCGGGGAGTCCTGCGTTCAGGAGTGTCCTCTCTGTGTCATCTATGAAGCCTCCACTCCTGTAGTCAGAGCGCTTTTTCGGATCCGGGTGTCCTGCGTTGTAGTCAGTATCTGTCACAGGTTCCACAATTCTTGAAGACCTACCCATTCCGAAAGCGGCTTTTTTGAAAAGCGCTGAGGCTGCTGGAGCATCGTTGTTGGCTAGATGAACTCGTCCTTGGACGTAGATAGAGAAAGCGTCATGAGCTGTGAAGTGCGAGAATTCGATGGCGAGGTCAGGTCGGCCTTCCTTAAGCAGCCAGCACTGCATCAGGGAAGTCTGAACCTCGTAGCTGCTATCGATTGCACATATCTGCAGAATTTGCTCAGTCACAACCGAAGTCATTCTCTCCCCTGGTCGTAGATCCAACCCTAGTAAGTACCGGAAGGCGCCCTCCAACACAGTCACCGTCTTCGGTGTCGGGACCTTTTTTGTGGAACTCGGGGCCTGCACATCCAAGGAGTTAGAACGTTCAAGCTTGGGAACGTCCAAAGTTATTTGCGTGCGAACAAGCCACCTAATACACTCTAGGTTTTGCAACAAATTGAGGAGCTCAAGGAATACCACGCCACTTTCGAATTGAATTCCGTCTTCTGAGTGATTTATCTCGTACTCTATCAGTATCAGGAGTATGAGTTGATCTAGACATATTTCTCGGTGCAATTCCACTGTATCTTGGACGCCCTTCATGAGCAGCTTGTAGCCGGTTTCTGCTAAAGGTTGGTTTTTGGCGCGTTCGAAATCCTCGGAGGCGTTCATGAGCTGCAGGATGGCAGTGTAAACCTGCGAGGTGACATTTTTGAAGTTACCCCCTAGGTCAACTTGGAGGTCATGGAATGAGTCGTCTCCTATCTGACCAGTAAAGTCGCATTTCTCGTAAAATATTCGCATCCTTGCTGGGGCAGTGAGAGATGGCTGTTGCCAAATCTCCTCTAACATCTGGGTCTTGCAGGCGTGCAAGAACTGCTCAGAGAGTGACTTCCGGAAATCAGTTGCAGCGAACAGTGGACGGGCCACATGCTCGTTTTCAGAATAAGCCCGATCATGGTTGAATAAAATTCGTTCCAAAGGGCTACAGTCTCGGCTAGCCGAGATCCCATCCGCCAAAACCAACCAAGGCATATCTCCTTCAGGATTAACTGATAGCGACATAGCTTCGCCACGCTGCTGATCGAGCTCGAAGATAACTCGAAAGAATCTTCGCCACTGGGCGTCTGTGGCAAGACGAAACTGCTCGTAGTCCATATCGCCACTGGAAGACCGATTCAGGGTAGCTGCTGCAGCTATTGTTGTACAGAGTCTGTCTGGTAGAGAACCTGGCTTGCGAGCGGATGCTTTGAGTGAGCCTAGTCCACGCGTGTAGATTGCAAGGCCTGTTTCAAGCGTAGCAGTCGTAAACCTGCCAGGATGAAGAATAAGTTCAAGCCATTTCTCTGTCCCGTCAGAGGAGTCTCCAGAAAAGACGATTGGTGGAGGTGACTTGTCGAGCGCTGGACATTTTTTCATGGCCATCCAGTCCTCCTTCCACGCTACCTCAACTTGACCCACGTCGGCATTGCGATAGAACTCCAGGTAATGAAGATGAGATGCTATGTCATTCTTCCACAATACCCATAGGCTAATCTTGTTGTGGTCGTCCCTGTCGAGGACGACGGAGAAGTCCGCCAATGTCCAAATCTCGTCGGGTTTTGGGAGCAAGGGCTTCAGGAGACTGCCTTGAAATATATCACTTATGTCAAGCTTTCCATCCGCCCGAGGAGTGACATTCCAGAATTTAAACTCGCCGCTTCCCAGGGGAGAGTATGTGACACAGAGAGCGCTCTCCTCGTTGTCACCTAGTAACTTGACCAATTGCGATTGTGACGGATCAATGACTTTCTTGGGTTGGTCTGGCTGCTCCTGATCGTCGGCCAGGATGTCTTTCGTGCAGGCGATTTTTCCAGTTGCCAGGTTCCAGATGCGTAATCGATGGTCCAAGCAGACTGTGAACGCAAAAGGTGTTCCATCGAGTTGTATTTCCGGAGCAGCTATGGAGGTAGCCGCGGAAAGCTCCATGTTTTGTCCGGCGTAGGAAATCATGTTTGCACGTTGGAACAGTGAAATAGATCGAACATTAAGCCCCCAGCCGCCTTCATTATAATGTGTCTCCTTCCAGAGAAAATCTACGCGAAATTAGCAGATATTATGAAGCGTTTGGCGAGCTGTCTTACTACCAGTTCCAGAACTTCTGTTGAGCCTCAACAGTCCACCGTCGATCATGGAAATCAACAGGTCATCTACGCCTAGAGCTACAAGTCTATGCGGATGTTTGATACCCAACCCAGCAGAATTGTAGACCTTGCACCATTCCCCTACGTTATCCTCCGTGCTCGCAGCTTTTCGAAAGTATTCTGGCTTAAGGGTAAGTGTGTAGAGTTGCTTGTTTTCCGTCAAGAAGAATACGCTCAGAGTATCATGCTCCGGCGAGTCCGTAATCGCAATACATCCTTGTCTAATCGCGCTCGGAATACTCATTCGCAGTGTAAGGTTGGCATCGACGGCTTTGCTGGCCCTAGAGACGTCGACTGATCGAATCGAGAGGACCTTTCCATCTTCCAGCACCCTCCAAAGAAAGCTTCTCGGCGACTTGTAGTGGGTTCGATGATAAATTGATGCAGCCGACGCCAAGTACCGCTGCCTGAAGGCATTTTCATCCTCTGCGATCGGGAGTTCAACAGCACGGGATCGTTTTGAAGCTGGTCTGGAGTATATTGATGCGCCAGCAGGCAAACGGATCGCAATAGTGGTACCTTGCGAGGGGGAGTCCAAATCTAGTCGTGTCTCTTGGTAAGCGTAAAACAGGCTAGAGTTAGCCATCTCGTCTCCATCAACCCTGATCACTGGCAATTTGTGGCGTTGTGGTGTTTTGATGTCGCATGTCTGTGGTCGTAAGGAAAGTTGACGCGCTCCGTTCACGACCTCAGCTTTTTCGCTTGGCGCTAGCTAGGTTGGAGGTGCAGGGTTTAGGTAGTACAGGGGTTTCATCATATTCACCTTTCTCGGGAGTAACACCCGTTCCTGATAAGTTATGTACTTTCGTGGCTCGATCGTATTATTGAACCTGCACCTAGACATAATGAAAGCATTTACTAACACGCGACCCGAAATGATAGCCCAAGCCCATTGCACCCATACCACGCTATGATCCGCATGCAAAGTAAAAAAATTAAGTAAAGTCCAGCCAATCCATCATGCACTCATGTACTCATGCAAGTCATTCATCTTCTCATGAGGAAAGACAATATGAAGTCTGGTCCCTTCACAACTCAATCCTTCTCGAGGTCCTTCGGGCTTGGATCACCAATACCATCCTCGTTGATCGCGAACAGGCAATCACTCTCGGGCAAGCAGGGGCTGTCGTAGATCTTGCAGATTCTGGTCTCCCCACGTCCCTTCTTGAGACTCAATCTGGTAGTACTGGCATGAGCAATAATATTACCTCCGATGGGCTTCTTAGGGTCGGGATTGAACATCGCACTCGGGCCACCATCAACCTGAGCGACGACTTGGTTGGTTATGACAACGGCAATTCCGAACTCATCTGCTAAGCGTTGGAGGGTCCTCATAAATTTTGCTAGATGGGTTTGTCTGGAAGACAGCTCTCCACGACCAACGAAGTCTGTTCGGTAGAGGGAAGTAGCACTGTCGACGATGAGGAGGGAGAATCGAGTCTCACACATCATGGCGGAGGCTTGGTTCAGCAGCTGAAGTTGATGATCAGAATTGTAGGCGCGGGCGTAAGCAACATTGTCGAGTACCTCTTCTCCGGAAAGCCCATAGCGGTTGGCGACAGCAAGAAGACGGACAGGTCGGAATGTTCCCTCGGTATCGATGTAGAGACACTTACCCTCGCCGCCTCCCATATCAAAAGGAAGTTGGCAAGTGACAGCTAGCGTATGGCAGATTTGACTCTTTCCGGTTCGGAACTCCCCAAATATCTCGGTAACTGATCCAGTTTCGATGCCTCCGGCTAGTAGCGTATCGAGTTGCTTAGAGCCAGTGGTGATTGAGATCAACTCGCTCCTCCGTTGATGCATCTCGGTAGCAGTTGTAAATCCCATAGGAACAAGTTTGGAGGCTGTAATAAATTAGCTGTAAGCACTCGTAGTGACGGGGGTAATTCCACCTTCAGTCAGGATCTTTGTTGCCTTCTGCTCAGAGATGCCCTTGATCTGCTCAAGTATGCGCCGCGGGGTGTATGCTACTGACTCTACCGTGTTGTACCCTCCCTCCACAATCAATTGGATATCTCTCTTCGTCAGCCCTGCGACACCCTGGAGGCAAGATATTAGACACCTCAATGGATAGTGGCACTGGGTGTACGAACCTCCAGAGCTGACAGCGGTGTAGGTGCGCCAGGACCGCCGACGCCCATCTCCTCCATGCCGGACTGTGATTGCTCTACCTCATCGCTAGGCATGGCTGCTAGAATCACTGACCAAGCTCTGGTGGCTCTCTGTGCGTAGGATCTCGAAATTGGTCGTTATTACGGTGGTGGCGGGGCAAACGCGAAAAGCTGTTAGTGACGTCAGCCGTAACTATGCAAATTGAAATGGAAGATCCACCAATCAAGAAACTTACTTCCTTTTTGTTTTCGTACTGCTGAGATATTTTGGTAGATATGGACGGAGATCAAGGGGGATGGCGGTTCTGTGTTTGAGAAATGGCGTGAGCGCGCTAACAAGGAGAAACAACAGCCAACGCGCTTGCCACATCGCCTGATCTCGTGACATCTCCCCTTCTAAGCCGCCATAGATAGGTATAAACCTGTATGGACAGCAGTGGTCTATAGAGCAGATTTATGTTTGGTTTATTGATGAATGTTTCTGCTATCCCTAATGCTAGGAACATTTATTTCCAATTCTGATTCGGGATGGCTTTCCTACAAGCAACAAATTCATAATATGCAAAGGATAACTTCCGGCTTCAAAGATCACCACGCTAAGTAAGATTTCTTGGCATTCTGAAGACAACTTGCGTTGTGTTTCGTTCCCCTATACTCGAACGGCAAGCCAATTCGGAAAAATGAGCCTCTTGATTCTGAGAAAGATATAATCCCCCGCATGGAGATGTAAAACTGCTTGTTTTGTCCAGTCGGACTTGCTGGCCTCTTGCACCTCATGGCGTGATAACTTGCAGCCGAACCTAGGACCCTTGGCTTGAATATCTGCTAAACCGATACTGCAAATATCTTCAGGGGTAAATATTGCAACGGTCTTGGGAGATAAGCTACATTTTGAACTATCCTCAGATGGGGACTATCAGTCCTCAGGGGCGCTCCATGGCGTTGGATGGTCGTCCCCCCGTCATCGAGCCTCTAGGTTTCTTCTGTAGCTTTGCGGACCGTCTTCTCGCTCTTGGATCATCTTTGACGTCCTCGTCAGCATCTTTTGGTCTGCCGAACGTTCCCGCCGGTAGAACCTCAAATCCTGAGTTGACCTTCCGCGCCACTTTGTTGACATGTAACTCGCCGGGGACAAATGGTGATGGAGACCGGGTCCTAGAGCCTGCTTGTTGTGAGGCATCGAGCCGATTCGGACCTGTGAATGTCTGCTGTGGTCGAACTGAGTCCAAGGGGCTCACATGGGGAGTTTCAAACGGATCTGATTTGTCGAAGTCGGGTGACTCTACAGGGACAGAGAAGTACGCTGCTTTGGCACTCTGAGGATGACCATGTGCGGTTACGGGCCTTCCTGATGGCACGCTGGATAGACTCAGTAAACGACCTTCGGAAGCTGACTTGTCGTTTAACAGAGCTTTTCGAGATAGGTCGGTCATCTTTGGTTCTTGAGAGAGGCTAGCCTCTGAATCCGAAGAATGTTCATTATCCGCAGCAGACGACGAATCGATATTCATATTTCCGATTCTGGAGCCACGGGGACGGTGTGCTTGTACTCCTCTCCTAAGCGACGTTTTCCCTTCCAACTGGCCAAGCGTACCCTTATCGAAGACCCCATGGCTGCCTTGACGAAGGTATGAAGATTTCCTTGGTTGGTAAGACGTCCGAGTGCCCTGTACCATCGGGTCTTGAGCATCGGATAGGGCGCCTAGATCAATGCTTCTGAATGAAGATCTTCCATATCTCGAGGTAGGTTTTGTATCTTCGTATCTCGAATCGGAAGCCTCAACGCCCTTACTGGCATCCGTACTTGCCAGGTTATCTGACGAGCTGCCGCGAAGATGGCCAAGATTGAGCACACTTGGCATCGGGGTGTTTGCCTGTGAGATCCATATCCCATCCACCTGTATTCCGCTTTGGATCGCTCTGATCCCGAACGGAATATCGTGGCTCCTCCGGGACTCGACAATCTGCCCGCTGTTTCTGAGTTGCTCAATTTTCGTCCGTTTCTCCTCATCAACAACTTCCTGCCTCTGCACCAGCCTGTTCACCCAGAGCAGCTTGCCCCAGCCGACGAGAAAGACTCCGACGATGGCGAGTGCAAGGACCTGGTGTATTTTTAGCTGGAAAACATGGCAAGCCTTGTCTTCGTCACTCACGAAGGTCATCTGCTCCCATAGCTGCCACGAGGTAAAGAACATGGCGCTGAGCACCCGGCGAGTCACCTATTGTTCGAACTTGAGACTCCTCCTCTTAAGGTAGTGTGGCAAAGCGTGAACGTGTGGTGCTCAGCACGAAGGGATGTTCGGGCGGAAGGTTGCGAGCGAAAACCGCGTTCGGCTTGGCTTGGCTTAAGAGACTACCAAAACGGCAGGAGCAGACTTACACTTTAAAAGGGTAGCCAGAAACAGAAGCTTCGATGCTTTGTCGTTGTGCACGCCCGAAAAGCCGACCCGGGTAATCTTTGAAAGGACTGCGGTGAATTTAAATTCTAGAACAAGTTTCTATGACCCGGTAATCTACGTAGATGAATTTGTAATTCAGGATGCGTTTGTTTCGGGTAGCTGCAGGTTGTGATACCGATCTTCATAGTATAATTATCGACAGCTAAAAATTTAGAAGCCCATCAGTTCCTCCAGGCAGTGATTGAAATCAGTAGATGGGATTATGTGACATTGTGATGTACAGGTTGAAGGATTCCGCATCGCCATCAATTCGATGACCGTGTCCCATAGATTACTTTCTCTCCTCTTCACTGCCCGAGTATTCCAATAGGCTTGATATCAAAGTCTGCTATTTGGGCCGGGATATCTCACGCACTGATGTTGTGCGCGTTGTCGAAACGTCGATGATAAACCTGACCTGGTATCCCTCGACCTCGACCTCGTCCAAGCCTGACTGATTGTTGTCTCTGCTTTCTTACTCTGAAGAATTAGTCAGGAAAATCAAGTGCCCCAGGTCAAGTAACTGTCCCATTTCAACTTGTATTAGAAATGACTTAGCAACGAATAATGCTTTCCTCTCATTGAATTGCTTTCCCCGCGACTGAACTCTTGCGGTAAACACCACTTATTTTCAGTCAATTATGGAGCAATAAATTGTTACTAGATAATGCAGCATTGTCTGTAAGTGCGGCAGATTGGACCCAAATACAAAGCTGCTATTTTTGGGGGGGGGCAAATGTCTCTTGCGATCGCAACAACGATTCCGAACTCTTCGACTTTCACCTTGCGCTTATATACTTTTTGCAGATTCAATAACTAAACGATATACGCTATCCTCTCAGAGTCTCTATTGTTGATTAATACGGGGGCTATAAGGCTAGATTGCGATCCTTACAAGAGATCGCGATTACTTGAAAGGACTTATAGGTATATAGTGGCTGGACCTTGACTTGCGATTTGGAGCTTCCAATGGATGAGCCTCTTTGAGAGATAATTCAAGACCAAGTTTTCATTTAGCAACCATAATTTGAAAGGATTGTATTAACGTTGGAGGTTGTACATCACAAATTCCAATAATAATAGATGAGACTACTCCGGAGCATGCGGAGGGCCGTAATTTTTAGCTTGCGGCCGGGCTAGAGCGTTACATTTTTTTATATTCCTCAAAGCGTATTTCTTCAAGAAAACCGATGTAACGTTAATGTTAGTGGCCTCGGAAGGCAGCTTTACCTACCTATATTACGACCGTTGAGAAGCGAGGTCCCTTCGCCCCGGAGCTTGCAGAGGGCTGCCAGGAAATAGACCTGGTTACTTTGTATGGCAAGACCATATTAAAGCATGATTTCAAAGGCCAGCAAACTGAATGAATGATCGGCACCTATATCGAAGCTCAAAGTATTGTGTTTAAGGACCCGATTTGCTCCGACCCATTCCGGCTTATTATTACGAGTACATCTGGCTTATACCTTGATCTTTTCAGTATACAATTAAGAAAGATAATATACAATTTGAAAAGGAGATTTCAAATTTATAAATAGTCAGCTAAGTGTAAGTTCGATTTTATATTTAGGATGATCCTCGGTATAAGAATAGTACGAAATACCAGGTCTGATTCGTGGCGGCCCTCCGCAAGCTGCGGGGCTAAGGGACCTCGCTTCGCCCCGGTCTTGATGCAAGGCTGCCTTCCGCATTAAAGCGACATCAATTTTCTATAAGAAATACGCTTTAAAAGGACGTAAAGACGATATAACGCTTTAGCCCGGCCGCAAGCTAGAACTTACGGCTTTCCGCAAGCTCCAGAATAGATTTTCCGGACTTCGCGATGTAATATTCGTAGTCATAATCCATAGCAATAGCCCCTTTTCAGCCGGTAATCGTCGGTTACCTTGAATTTAATTTGTAAAAAATCCCGACCTGGCAAGGCGGGACAGTAAAATTTGTTCCTTTTTAATAAATAAAAGATCAACCAACTATTATAGATTAATTATTTTTGTATAAAAGATGCGCAATATTGAGTTTGATACTAATCAATTAATTGAATTTTAATTACAAGTTGTTATTCCTTTATTATGTTAAGTTAAAGTAATAAAATAGTACTTTTAGCGTATACTTTTCGATTTTAGTAATGCGTATATATTAGAATAAGCGAGGAACACGAAAATCGGACTTTTATTCAAATATATCAAAAAAATACGTGCATCACTACCAACTTTGATTTAATAATCAATAAATCTAGTAATATAATATATTAAATCATTTATTTTCGATCCATGTGACGTTTTTTTTAAATGAAGGTTGTGGTTATTAAGATATTTGCAATAAACAAGTAAATTTGAATTATTTAGGACAGTTTTTGACCATTTTTTCACTACATTTCAATGTATTAGATTACGACAAATAAATACATTTTTATAATTTTAATTCACGTTTGTAAAGCAGAATTTTCTAAGCATATAGAGTTTTTTTTTATTTCTTATAATAATAATTGTTGTTTAATAAGTGGTATACCGTTACTGTCCCGCTTTGCTGGGTGTCCCGCCTTAGTAGTGCCGACTTGCTACAGCAAGTCGGTCAATTCTTTCGAATTAAAATTTAAGGAAACCGACGATTACAGCTAGCCGTCCTTCGAGTATTCATTTTATAGCAACAGCCTTCGTCAGCTCGTTGCAGCTAGCTATTTTTCGAGCATCTAATTTAAAGCAACAGGCCCTTTTAGCTCGGTGTAGCTCGCTGTTCTTCGAGCATTCAATCTATAGCTATCGGACGAATGCGGGCCTGGCACGTGACTGCACGTGAGTATGGCACGTGCACCCGTGGTTCCTGCCCCCTTAGGGGACAGCCCACAACTAGTAGGAATAAAATCAACCATGATCAATACAACATAACAATTGCATAGGCTAGTCTATCAACAACTCCCTGTGATATACCAACAATAGCAATAGCTCTTTTCAGTTCGATGCAGCCAACTATTCTTGGAGCATTTAACTTATAATCATAGCCCTTTTATAGCGCGATGCAATCAATTGTCTTTCGAGCGTTTAATCTATAGCGATAGTCCCTTCTAGCCCTTTTTAGTGCGCTTTAGCCAACTATTCTTCGAGCATCCAGTTTATAGCAATAGGCTTTTCTAGCTCGATGCAGCCAGCTGTTTCTCGAGCATTCTTATTGTTATATATTAATTAGCTAATATTTAATTAAATATTCGAAAAGAAAACGTAAAGAATTCGAGGAAAAAATAGAATCTATAGTCGTCATTTTCAATTGCAAAAGATAGCTATAAATAGTAGTTCTACGCAGATCTAGCTTGTAAATTAAGCTTATAAGATGCTTTTTCTCATTACTAAGCGCTTAGCCAAGTTTTAATATTCTCCGATAGCCCGAGGTCAAATAGATGCACCCAATCAACGTATTCTCTTTAAGTCAGGTAACTGTATTTTTAACAGTTTATGGTCTCAGCCATTGATCCACATTTCCCACGGTACAGGCGTAATTGTTCCCCCTTGAGGTTGCCTCAAAAGTTTAGTTCCCACTATAAACCCCTTCCTTCTCCATCCGGCTGGGAAGCTGCCGATTTGCGGCACGGGCCAACATCATCAAAAAAATGTCTTGATATTAGAATTAATCATTAAATGTAATACAAATCAAGGCCCAAGAAATTAAAATTGTGTCCTTTGGCCTTGCCGACATCTACACATGTGGAGTCGATGATTACGACAGAAATTAAATAGTTATTTACGTTTCAAAATCTCCTTTCAAAGGTAGTACGTAGTAGGTTAAGGTGGGTAGCATTTCAAGGGTGGCACGATCCAAAACGCAGCAAAAGTCTACTACGTAGTACGTCCCAGACGTAGTAGTAAGTACCGGTATTACCCCTTGAGGGTACGAAACAAGGATTTTTACCAAGGGAAATAAGATTTTCGAAAGGGTCGAAGCAGATCGGAAAAGCGTCCTATTACTACGTACGTAATAGATCGTGAATATAGTAGCAAAAGCGTATCGAACAGGTTTAAATTTTAATTGAAGGGTATTTTAACGCTGCTTTTTCCTACCTATTCTTTCCCAGCTTTATCTTCCGATCTTAACCCGATCGAGGCGATTTGGTTATGAACATTGAAGAAAAATATCTTAAAGTTGATTAAAGTTATCTTCGATATAGAATGATTGTTCAAGAAACGTGGGATTCGATCGAAAAAGATAAAATTGTTGCTTTAATTAGAACTATAAGAAACCGCTGTTTAAACGTAATCGCGGCGGAATGGTACCGGTAGTACCACGTACTACATACCCTGATAAAATAAAAGCTTATAAAATCTGCGAGTACCATGGTACAGGCGTAAGTACGTAGTATTACCCCTCGAGGGTAGGATAACCAGGGGTATTAAAGTGGAAACCAAAATTTTGAGGCACCATCGATGGGTAATACTTAGGCCTGTACCGTGGGTATGTGCCACCCTTAGGATCCTTCTGTCTTTTATTTATAGGGAGGAGGAGGCGGGGGCGTAGGCGGGGTAGGTATACCCGTCTACCTATACTGATAATGAACACAGTCCGAGAGATACATTATAAAAAAGAGATATAGATCTCCTTTTGAACTCATTTCAGATTAAATCCTCACCTTCTTTACTATCATCTTCTTTACTATCATCTTCCTTAACATCTTCTTTCGCAAGCCTATTCCCTTTCGTCAGCTCGCATTATCGGAAGACTTATAAAGCAAAATGAGGCTACTATCGCAATCTACTTGCTCGATCTTGCTAGCCTCGAGCTTTCTCTTCAATAAAGCTTATGGAAGAGGACTTATCGCTTATCGAATTGTTTCCGAAGTAAGTTTCACTTGGTTTATACAGTATAGTATAAGTTTATATTAATTACGCGAACTGTAGGACGTAGCCAGAGATATCAATCAGCACGAAAAGCCTAGAGATCAGAATTTCGATCAAAGATCTTCTAAACAACTAGGAGAAGGTTTTTATGCGGGTAAGTTGATGTATATTTATAAATCGTTACTTATTACGTGGAATTAATAATCTAAATAGCAAACATAATTGCTCACTGGCGGGCCACACCAAGCGCATGGTATTGTGCCATCGAAGCGGATATTGACAGGATCAGAGATTTAAGCAAAGTATGGATCCCAGAAGGAAACATTGAGACCAATCAGATATTATGGTACAAAAATGAAGAAACTATTTTGGGTTACATCCAGTCAATAGCGCCAGAAAACCCGGAGAAAGCATTACGCTTTTCATCTTCTTCAGAATGGCCTGAGCAGTTGCAAATAGTTATTCCAACTGTAACGCTAAATGACGATAACTTGGATTTCTGGGCTAAATGCTGGGAAACAAAGAAAGAGCTGGAAGATTATACGACCGAGCCCGTTAATTGGCTGGATTGGGATATTATTGGAGATCCTCGGGTGCAGTAAGGGAAGAGCTTGAAGGAAAGAAGGAAGGAAGGAATAGAGGGAAAAGTAGAGATCTGGACTCCATTCGGGGCTTTTAATTGGCTCTTTGTTTTAAATTCTTAGTATGTACGGATGGACTTTGGTTTGGAATGCTATGGCTTGGTCTGGTTTGATTTGAAAGAACAAAAGAAGGAAGGAGTAGATAGAGAGAGCAATCAATCTAAAGAACGCGAATAGATCCACTGCAAACCAAATAGAGGAGGTAACCATATTAAGGGCGATACGGTAATATAAAAGCGGGAATAGCTTCAATGTTGATGGCGATGATAAGGTTAAGCGACGACGATATTCAGATATTCACGGTACAATACTGGGCTATAACGGAGCTAACTTTTTCGAATTAAATTCAAGGTAACCGGCGATTACTGGCTACTTCTACTTGCGTGCATCACTTTGGTTATTTTTTCGGTTTGTATATTGTTGTTGTTGTTGTATTTATTAACGTCGGGCGGGTATCCAAAACGCAATGCTTAGACCTTAAGGACCTCTTATAAGGTACGGCGACGTGCTAAGTAAAGGAATTATATACAAAGTACTATCTAATCGAGAGTAAAAACCACGTTAAAGAAAACCTCTCGTCAAATAGCTGGACACTTGTAAACCCTTTAAAAGCAATTCATAGTGATATGCGTCGAGTTTTCTCTCGACAACTGTCGAATACGTGTAGCCTTACGGGCGGCCTCGATCCGTATAATACAAACATCGTTCTCTTTCGTCGTAGAGCTAAGAAAGCTCGCGTTCGTAGCCCTTAAATAGAGCCGGTATATTTATAGAACGCTCTTTCGAAGGCGCAGTACCGTGTTTTCGATCAATCGAACTAAGCCCTTCCTATCCCATTTCTTATACACGTTCCCTTTCTATCGCAAATCTTCTTAGTCTTTTCAATCGGTATGCCCGTCAAGTATAGATCGTAATCGGCGTAGTATTCGAGAAGAAGGAGGAGGGAGGTTCGGAATCGCCGGTAAAGGAAAATCTCTTCGAAAAGACGTCGCATATCGATGATTCAATTTCGGCTCTCTAGACTCTTTATCTCTCTTTCTACCGCAAGAGAAAGAAAGAAAAAGAGCTGAAGGTTCGTAGAGGGCATCTCGTACAAGTAAAGAATCGTAGCCCCCCTTTCGGTTTGTATACAATGCAGTCATGGGTTATTTTCCCTTCAAATACTTGATTAATAGCTGATTAATAATAGAGAGAGAAAAGCTCGAGACACAGCTAGCTGGCTGCATCGCACTGTAAGGGGCTATTGCTATGGATTGGATTCTCGAAGAGCGTTACAGTTTCTTCGAATTATTTTAAAGCGTACATACCTATACATAGAAATTTGATATAGCGTTAACATTTGAAGCGCCTTATACTACTATCACGATCGTTGCGAAGCGAGATCCCCTGGCCCTCAGAGGGCCGCCAGGGAAAGACCTTGTTTAAAGTACTATAGTTATTTGATGACCCAACCAACCCCCACCCCCACCCCCACCCCCACCCAATCCGACCTACCTATTATCATAAGTAAATTACCTTCATCTTTTGACCTTCTGAAAAGGAAGATTGCAATCCTATGATAATTACCTAAGCGTAAATTCGACTCTATATTAAAATTGATCTTCCGAACGATAATTATTTATAGCCGAAGGTAAAAGTTTCAAAAACGGGCTGAAAAAAGAGATATATGATGTTTTCCTCTTGCATCTGCTTCAGCGTTAATCCATCATCTTCTTTCTTTTGCAACATGCCACGAACGAAGTCTATCCTCGCGTTCTTGCTAGCCTTGAGCTTTTTCTTCAGTAGCGCTCAAGCTGTTAGGATGTCTCAAGCAGCTAGGCTTGCTCAAGGACGTAACGGTCGAAGGATCATCGGCTATGCAACAGTTAGTAGGGTAAGTTTTACTCGATGTATACAGCACAAGCTCATACTAATTATTACGCGAATTACAGAGAGAGGCTAGGGATATCAATCAACACTATGCGCTAGTTGTCTCTTCATCCTTAATCAGTGATCAATTGGGACACGGCTTTTATATCGGTGAGTTGAATTATATACGAAGGATCGTTACTTATTGCGTCAGCTAATAATTCGAATAGCAAACCAACCTGATGTCTTGCAAGGTGAAACGGGGAGTTGGTATTGTGTTATCAAAGCGAATCGGGGGTTGATGATGAATGTCGGCAAAGCATGGATCCCGGAATCTTATTTTGACAGTAATATGATTGAGGAACAAGACGTATGGGACCAAGGCGAAGATGCTGTCGTGGAATACATCGCGACATTGATGGAAAGGCCCACGGAAGCGCTGCGCTTCTCTTGGGTTAAAGGTATGCATTGGAGGTCTCAGATGGTTATTCCATCGAATGTGATAACAGGAGATAAATTGGGTTTTTGGGCCAAATGCTACAGATCAAAAGATGAGCTGGCAGGGCATTGGAACGATTTCATTGATTGGGAAGAGTGGAATATTGACGGAGATCGTTCAAGGCCGACCAGTACTCCTTAACTAGCATAATCAGAAGGGAGTGGTTCGTCAATTGTATATTAGAAGTCGAGCACCACTATCTGCTGTAATTCTGACCTCGCTTAGGATCTGAATCTATTTTGTTACTGAGAGACAACTATTTCCCATTGAGGCAATAACAAAATACCCTGCTATGGTGATCTTGTGTTGCCATATTCGAGATCAAATAAACGGAACGAAAAGGGGATGCAAGGATGTCTGTCTACTTGATAACACTTTCCTGTTATCAGTCTGCGTATTTCCTGTATTTCCAGGGTTCAAAAGCTTTATCCGCCATCTGGCATTGCTTACTTAAGTACTTACTCACTAGGGAGATTTAGCAGAGCTGACAGCAGCAGATTTCCCACCGGCTTTTCCCTAAAAACACCTATTAGACCTGTCCACTTCGATGTCAAGGTACCCACTATGCACCTTACCATACAGTAAGAGGGTTTAACCCCCCTGCCGACACGCTTGGGAGAGGGAAAAACAAACCTGACAGACTTTGTGCCATTTTTTCCCCTCCCCACGTCCAAGAGTAGTTAGCACTAATCGTCGGCTACCTTATATTTAATTCGAAAGAATTGGCCGACTTGCTGTACCGACGTCTATTTTCCCCCAAACATTTCCCTCTTTTCCCAAAAATCAATAGCAATACTCAGCTTTCAATGTCGAAGAATATAGATGCTTCAAACTATTATATTTTTAACATCAGATTCAATTTTACAGCGGTAATTCATGTTTCTTTCAAATCCTCGATTTTGGCTCTCTTTTATCGTGAATTCATAAGGGGTGGGTAAGGAAGGGTGGCCCAGGCGGCTAACGACCCAACGAGAATTCGTAAACGACCTGATAGACTCGGAAACCTCGCGAGATGTTTTCGAAAGCAAGAGTAAATAAAGCAAGGGTATCCGATCTGTAAGCTTCACCTTATTAACTTTGGTGAAAAAGCTGTTCTTCTGCTGCTTAAATATCCCCCTACGAAGTTAATAAGTCCCCCACGTTTCCCGTCCCGTCCCGTCTCCCTGGTACTGTAAGGTAAAGGCGCATTCATGATCCAGGTCTCGCGGCTGTACATGTTATCTACACAGGAAGCCACACCAGAAAATCCCTTGATGCCGTCGAGTACCGTATTCCAATGACTTCTTCCGGCCCCCTTCGCCACGGCATCCAAGTGAAGAGGAGCGGCTCGAGAGTCGAGAGTCGAGAAGTAAGGAGATCATTAGTGGGATGGCTGATCTGCGGAATCTAGTGATCTGGTTGGTTGAGCACAAGTCAGTACCCCAGTTCGCTCCCTCCCCGAATGTTGCGAGAACCGTAATCCGTGTCAATCAAAGAAAACTCGAACTGCGTTATTGCACTGGATTCCCCCTCCCTCAATTCATGGTCGTTTTCTTGGTGTCCGCAATAGCTTCGACCATCTCCCAATTCATAGTCCATCCGGCGCATCCATCCCACTCCTTTCACGATGCCTATCAGGAACCCTTTTGCGAAGAGGGTAGAGCCCACACCACAGCCGTACGAAGAGGGCATTCGACCGCTACCACAAGACAGACCTGGCTTTGAGAAGGTTGATACCACTGGATCGAAGAGTTCTTCTGCGATGAGTATCAAGAGTCGGGAACCTGTCGAATACAAGATGTCTGGTATGCGCGACGGACTGGGGAACAATCGCAAGCTGCGACACACGGACAGATTGGCTGATTAGTACCCGCGTATAGTTGTCAATGATAGTGGAGTATATTTGCCTGTGAGTCGATAGGATCGAGCATCGGGAATGATCGCTGACATCTCGTAAGCCTTCTCCTCCCGAAAAGAAAGGGTTCTGGCCAAAGCGCTCTCATCCCTCCGCGAGCTCGATAAGTACTCGCCATAGCGTGGATATCGACCCCTTTCCAATTTCAAGAGAATCTTTCGATTCCTACAGAAGGTCATTTGTGAGCGGGCATCCCCCTTCGCACCCATCGGCGTACTAATTTATCCGCAGGATATTTCAGCGAGATCGCCTGTACTGCGCGCTTCCCATGAGTTTGGACGACAAAGTCTCGACTCAGCAATCATCCCCAGACTTCCACGATCAGCCATGAATGAAAGACGATTCGAGAGACAACCACCGACTGCAGAGGAGGGCTTTGAAGACGTGGGTCTTAACGACGAAGCCAAGCAGCCGAAGAAGAAGGGATTCTTCTCCAAGTTCGGAGACAGCAATAACGAGACAGGCACTCAATCACCGATCACGTCCAGATTTCACATTGGTGGAAGGAAGAGAGGACAAAGTGGCGTAGGAGAAGAGCTTGGGTATATGTCTCGGCCTGGGACGGCCGGATCAAAGGAGATCAGGGAGATCACCGAGGATGCCCATTAGTAAGATAGACAATGTTGTCCTTTGCACAATGTTGTCATTATAATACCGGGAGTTGAAGTTCAGATTTGGTATGGGCAATGTTTGATCGCCGAACCAAGTAACGATACATGAGATTTACTTCCTATGATCTGATTATAATTTAAATGAATTCACGAAATTCAGAAAAATCCATGGGATACACTATCAGTGATATCTGACAACATTGTGCAAATTCTATCGGCGATTGGCACTTCTGATCTCCAGCTCCAGATTACACCTTTTTTTTATGTTTTTTTATTTTTTCATTGTTTCTTTTGTCCCGAATCTTGTAATCAGGCAGGTCCCATGCAGGGAGGGCTTCAAGATCGAGGGGTCCTCCACCAGCCGGGGGGCGCTAGCGCACCCCACCAATAAGTTTTTAAAACGTCATTGTGAGACCCGCCCACTCGCAAAAATTTGTTTTCACATCGAATCTCAGCATCGTTTGAAAGAGACTTCAAATCTGGAACGCAATGGCAAAGACAAAACCCAAGAATAAGCAGTCGAAAGAAGACAGAAAAGCCGCTCAAAAACGCACATCCGGTAGAAGTAACGCTCCAAAAGCAAACATGGCCGTTTCAACAGCCGATCTCCTAGCACAAGCTGCGGCACTCTTGCAGAATGGAGACATCGAGGGGTCCGTCAAGCCTGCGAAGAAAGCTTTGAAGTCGCTAAATGTCGAGTCGCCAGAAGCCTTACCTGCGCTCAACTTACTAGGAGAAATACACGTCGAGTTGGGAGATATCGACTCGGCGCGCCAATACTTCCAACAAGCCGCCGCCATTGATGAGGATGGCTCGGTTCCAGAAGAGCTTGGTGGAGGCGCAGAGAAATTTCTTTGGCTGGCGCAGCTGAGCGAGGAAGGGGGGCAAGACAGCGTCGACTGGTTTGAGAAAGGGGCTATGAGCTTGCGGGTACAAATTGACGCCCTGCTCGCAAGCGGAAAGTTGGATGCGGAAGGCGAAGCTGCGATGGCGGAGAAGACGAGGAAGCTTGCTGTGGCGCTTTGTGGTGTTGTGGAGGTGTATATGACGGATCTGAGCTGGGAAGAGGATGCCGAGCACAAGTGTGAAACCCTCGTCACGGAGGCTACGTTGGTTGCTCCGCAGTTTGCAGAGCCATTGCAGACGTTGGCAAATGTCAGGATTTCTCAATCACGTTTGGAGGATGCGAAAGCGGCGCTGAAGAGGAGTCTGGATCTGTGGAAGGATTTACCGCCTGGTGATACGGTTGTACCGGACTTTCCTACCCGGGTCAGTCTTGCTAGGTTGCTTATGGAGGCAGATATGGAAGTCGAGGCTATCGATGTTCTGGAGCGACTGGTCGGAGAAGATGATAGCAGTGTTGAGGTTTGGTACCTGGGCGGCTGGGGACTGTACATTCTGGGTGAGAAGCAGAAGAATGGTGAAGTCAAGGTGGAGAATGGCGATGGAGAGAGCTGGAGAGTCTCATGGATATCGAGTCGGCAGTGGCTTGACCAGAGTCTCCGTCTTTATAAGCAGCAAGACTATGAAGATGAAAGACTTGGAGAACACGCCGAAGAGCTCCAAGCTCTCATCAACAAGGAGCTTGGAGGAGTGTCTGCCGAGGAGGAGGAAGAGGGTGACATTTGGGAAGATGAGGGGTCTGAAGAGGATAAAGAGATGATAGGAGCCTAACTTGCACGCCACTCTCTGGTTTTTAGTCTCCGCAAGGCGCAGCGGCGTTTGGGCCATAAATGATGTTTCATATTACGGCAAGTAACTCTTTCTGGGTTTGTGTGTAGGAAACCCCCCAGATGTGCATTTGTCAGAGTTCTATAAAGTAGGAAAATTCACAGTTATTCCATCCCGAACGCCTGCAATGCAACTCCTCCAGTTCCATGCCCGCAATGATATCTACGCTTTTGAGAACTATCCCTATTATGTCCCAACCTTCAACTTTCTCATCCCGTCTAACGGCACTTTCTCATCATCAGCATCCTCTTCGTACTCCTCGACCTTGCCCGCCAGACCTCTCTCCCATAGCTGCCTCCCGGTTAATTGCATCACAGTCTCCTTGCCCCTGTTTTTCTTCTTCTCCGCCGCCTCCTCAGCCTCTTCCTCCTTGACCCTCAGCTCTTCCATCTCCTGCCTGAACGTCTTCCGCCAGATCATAAAGGTCTCAGGATTGACCGGCGTTCCATGGAACTTCTTATTCTCCTCCCTCTCCAGCGCCAGTATTTTCTGTTCCTGCACGTCCCGCTCTACTTGCTGCCGTTGCGCAATTAGCTGCTCGGCATTGTCCTTCAAGGTTGAGTAAATGGTGAAAATCATGGCCATGCCCATGTTCTCTTCGATTGTCTCTTTCAGGCCCTCCAGCAAGATGTCCTTGTCTGACCCGACGCTGAAGTACGGATGCACAGGCGCATTTGACTCGGGCAGCAAGTCGAGTATAGGCGGTTCTTCGGGGTATCCGTCCGGGTATTTGACCTGCAGTATCACTGTCGGGGGTTTAGAATTGTCGCCATCGTCGTTTGTGATGTCGAGGGGCACTGAGATCCGGTATTCTGTGTCTGATATGTCTGTGAAAATGTCAAAAGGTTTCCGTGACTTTGGGTGGCTTTCGCGGGGTATGCAGGAGTATCACCGCTGCAAGAGCTGGCGCGCACCTTGTATTTCTTCTGGGAATATACTGTCCAGGACTTCACGCTCCTCAATCTGCTCTTCTTTACCCATCTTGTGGTTTGACTCTAGCAGTGCACCCTTGAGGTTCGACCTTCAGTGTGGGGTTAAGAATTTGGGATTAGCGCCGACTGATAAGTAGCAGAAAGTGGGTCTGCGGTCGACCTTATCCCGGGAACTTTTTTTCTCTCAAGGAGGAAATTTATCATTTGGGACCGACAAACACAGCAACGATGCCATCCGCAACAACCACGAAAAATGCTACGACTGGTGCGAAGAGGAAGTCGGCCCCGGTCAAAAATGCTCATGTTCAAGAGAGCAAAAAGCCGAAAATTGATGTGGCCTTCATGTCGGTGAAGAAGGAGAAGAAGGTACCGGTGACGAACATTGAGGAATCGAGCGACGATGACTCAGAGGACTCGAGTTCGGATGATGGAGTACCAGTTGATCAAGCCTCCCAAGAAGAGAGTAAATTAGAGGACGACGAGACCGATTCAGAGGAAATTCCTCGCGCCGCCGACGGGCTACATCCACAAAGAGCTAAGGCTGTTGCTACCAACAGTGCGAAATATTGTGTAATCCACACTGATACATGCTAACCAGTCCATAGGTCAATCTTCAAGAGAAGCGCATGCGAAGCAGAAGCAACTAGCCCAGGAGCGAAAAGCTGCAAAGCCATTGGCAGATCAATTAGCTCGGACGAAGAAGATTTGGGAGCGCCTACGCCGAAAATCCCATGTTCCAGTCGAGGAGCGAAAACAGTTGGTCGGCGAGCTGTTCGAGATTATCACCGGAAATATCAAGGACTATGTTCTGAAGCATGACAGCGTCAGAGTTGTCCAGACTGCAATCAAATATGCCAACCCAGCGCAAAGGAAGATTATTGCCAAGGAACTCGCAGGATCATACCGCCAGCTCGCGGAGAGCAGATATGCCAAGTTCTTGATCGGAAAGCTATTGGTCCAGAACGACGATGAGATCAGAGACATCATTGTACCCGAGTTCTTCGGGCATGTCCGTCGAATGATCAAGCACCCAGAGGCCTCGTGGATTCTCGACGATGTGTACCGTGGAGTCGCTACTAGAAAGCAAAAGGCGACCATATTGCGAGAGTGGTACGGTGCCGAGTTTTCTCTTTTCGACAAGGATAATGACGGGACTATCACCGCAGACCTCGCAGACATTCTGGCTGCGGAAGCCGGAAAGCGTGCTCCGATCATGCGCTCACTCCAAGAACTCATCAACCACCTCATTCAGAAGAAGATGACTGGATTCACTCTCCTCCACGATGCTATGCTCCAATATTTCCTCAATGCCAAGGCAGGAACCGAGGAGGTCACCGAGTACCTAGAAATCATAAAGGGCGACGATGAAGGTGACCTGCTCAAGAACTTGGCTTTTACGAGATCCGGATCCCGGGTAGTCAGCTTGGCTCTCGCCTACGGAACCGCCAAGGACAGAAAGCAGATCCTCAAAACTTACAAAGATACTCTTCAGATGATGGCGGGCGATGTTAATGGTCACATTGTCATTCTTACCGCGTACGAGGTTATCGATGATACGGTCTTGACCGCGAAGTCTATCTTCCCTGAATTACTAAGCAAGGATACTGAGAAGCAGATTGAAAACATCGGCTTCGCTGTCAATGATCTTAATGCTCGCATCCCACTCTTATATCTCTTCCAAGGCCGATCAAAAGCCCTCTTCCCAGCAAGCCATTCCGCAGACCTTGAGATCCTCGCCGAAATCGACAAAGTCAGAGCGACAACCAGTAAGAAGGATCCTGAAATCAGAAGAGCTGAGCTGGCGAAAGCCTTGTCTCCATTTCTTCTGAACGGTATAGCCGCCGCAGCTCCTGATCTAGTTGCTACTAGTTTCGGAACTCAATTTGTAACTGAAGTCCTGTTCGGAGCCGAAGGCGACAAGACAGCTGCATTGGCCGCAGTCGCAGAGACCGCCGCCGGAGACCCAACATACACTCAAACACCCGTCACCGAGGATGGAGCCGAGAACCATGAGCCTCCTTCCCACCTAGCCGCCACACCGTACGGTGGCAAGATGCTCAAGTCTCTCATAGCCGGAGGACGTTTCGACTCCAAGACGAAAGCCGTTGTACCTATCGAGCCGGCTCTCAACTTCGCCGATATCCTGTATCCGTGCATCAAAAATTGGGTCATCGAATGGGCTACCGGATCAAGTTCATTTGTCGTCTTGGCTCTTCTCGAGTCTAGTAATTTTTCGCAAAAGAAAGACTTGCTGCATATCTTGAAGAACGAGAAGGGGAGGTTACAGAAGGCAGCTCAGGAGGAAACCCCCGAGCAGAGAGCGAGGAGAGAGCAAGAGGCTGCTGATGCTGAGAAGGTTACTAAGGATGGGAAGGGCAAGGCCAAGAAGTCGAAAACTTTGAAGAACAGGGTTGTGGGGAATACCGGATCGAAGCTTTTGTTGGAGAAGATTTGAGATGACGGCTGATACGTATTGCAGGCGGATAATATCTCCACCTCTCTGTACATGATACCCTTGGGTATAAAAGTGATTTGGTCCATTGTATCATATTTTTGTAGATGCTAAACGACTGCTCAGGTCTAGCTAGGTATGACACTTCGTCTTCGAAGAAAAGCAATCTTCTGCAAGCGCGGGCGCAATTAAGCCAATTCTTCTGCTTCTCTTTCGTATTACTCCCCATGCTCTACAAGTGCTGAAGCCAAAAACCCTCGCGTTCATGAAACACCATCGTGGAAAACGCCATCACCATACCCATATCGATCCCACCGCCAGGCCCTCTATTGCACGAAAGCTGGCAGTAACTCTTCTTGAGGGTGTGAGAGTCAAATTCCGGCCTCGACTCCCAACCATCAGATATTCTTCAAGGAAATATCACAGATGACCCCCCTCTCCTTGCCTGCATCAGCAAAGTGCTGTAGCATGAAGTGGCAGGCAATGTCGATGGTGAGCTTGCCGGTCGTCGCTCGGCAGCAGGGAGGTCGAACAGCGGCTTTGTTTTGAGCTCGGTGGTGAGGTCCTGGGACAGCGAGCGAGTGTGTTTGCGGTAACGGTGGGCAGGTCGGACTGCGGACTGCATTTTGCTTTCTTTTTCTCGGGAGAGAGAGTGTAGTGTGAAGAACGGTGAAGTGCCCGGAAAGCGAGTGGACTCGAATGATGGATTTTTGATGCGAATTAGTGGGCTCCGAGTGGATAAGATCGTACTTTATTAGTTGAGCGAGAGTAGAGCAGAGGAGATGAAAAAAAAAGCTTTGGAAAACCGTCTACGGCTATATTATAGGGAACCGACCGGCGGAGCAAAGAATGTAGAGCTGGCAAAAAGCGAGTGTACAGGAAGTCGTCGAGAGAGCGATGAGGTTGAGAAAAACTCGCTACCAGCAGCGGGAACACCCTTCCTATTATATCTCCGAGGTATTAAGCTTCCAGGCCAGAGATCAGCTACGACTGATACGGGACCTGCCAGAGCTCCGTCTTTCTGCGACAGGTCCTCCAATCTCCCCGGCTTTCTTGCGATTTTGGGCTGATAATGTGCCCGCCGTCAAGTGCAGTGCGTCTGAAACCGTTTCGCCTGATCTCGCGTTTTACGCCCGGTGTCACGAAGCCGAGATAAAGAGACCTCAACCGGCACCGGGCTCAGCTCGTCAGGGATAAAACACACTTCAAAGAACTGCTCTGTGCCTCTTTGAGTTCTTGGTTTGCATTTGTTGCAGGGTTATTATCACCGGCTATTCGTGTTCGCCAAGTGTTGGAGTCATGGAGATATGGCCAGGAACACTTTCGACAATCCGGCGACAGCGAGATAGATGAGAGGAGGTTTTGCGTAGGATATTGTGATGAACTTTGCAATGCTCGTCTTCTCGCGCTCGTCGGCGCCTCCGCTCGAATTGGCGAGTGCTGGGGGTTCAGTTGGCATTAACACTAGGATGAAATAGAGAATCCGATACTTGGCTTGTCGGTTAGGAATCTACAAAAACAAGTCGCATGAGCCAGGAATACTCACGCCAACCACAGGATATCGAATGATGAAGCTGGACTGAACGGCCGCAACCTTCATCGCCTCCACTCACTGACTTTGGGAAGTTTCGAGCTAGGAGATGCCAGACCTAAACCTGCACTGACGATAGCTCCAATAAATACGTGCATTAAACAAGCGCATTAGGAAGACAGAGATTTTCGGATCACGGCTGGGAGCTTGTCCCAGTACTCTTCAGGTGTGCCAGCGGCGTTTCCGCTACTTTCGGCACTGGGGTTGGCGACTCTCTCGATGGTATGCTCCTGTTGCTCTTCAGCTGTCCTCCCAGGAGGGTTCGAGAATTCTCGTGCTTCGCTTCGCTTTCTCGGTGGCCATGCAAACGTCTTGGGTCTATGTTTCTGCGTCTCCTTGTCCTCATGGTACTCGTCTGGGGTCCCCTCGTCGTTCACGACCTTCCGTCCGACTTTGAAAGTCAAACTGTTGCTCACTAACGATAGCGTTCCTGAGTACTCAGCCTTGTTATGGTTTGGGGGAAAAATCGTACTGGTGGGACACGTCTGAAATCCAACAGGCAACTTGGGGAGGGGTGCGAGCAGAGTATATCATAGCGTACGCCGGTCGCCAAGATATACAAAACAGCCGAAAAGAAAACAAAATTCCGATGCATTTCTCAGGTAGCGCATGACAAATCTAGGGATGTCGGAAGCTCATCTTTCTTCTTTCGGGAAGTCTGGTTTTCTTCTTTTCTGGTATTTTGCCTGACTAACTATACAATGGGACACTATTGATTATCCCAAGTACTTTTCGCTGGTGACTGTCCTCGTGGTGACGGATGAGCGGCTTGGAGGCCTCGAAAGTGCCTTCACTCGCCTCGTCGAAACCATGCTGCTAGTAAGGCCAATGCCATAGCGAAATGGGCGAATTAGAAAATAATACTGCATTAGAGCCAGCTAAAAGATGGCAGCTGGCGGCGGTGAATATCACGACTATCAGCATCTTGCGGGCACAAAGGCGAGGAACATCTTACCGAGGTGGGAAACAAGAACTCATGGTTTGAAGACCTCCTGCATTCAAGAAGGGGTTTGGTCAATGTAAATATAAGTGCAATTGCTAGTACGTTTTCCGGAATGAGTACAGATATCGGCTTAAATATTCAGATCACCTCAAGCGGTCCACGCCTTGGGGAGCCTCATTCAGACGACTTGTCACTTGTTCGGACTAGGCAGAGTGCGATTGAGTTCGGATCCTCCTTGGCGGTCCCAGTTGGATCCTTGCAGGAATCTCTTTTCGTGAGCAAGCTACATACACTTGTGTCGCGTTATTTCTGTTCCAACATATCTCCCTTCATTGAGTGACTCTTTCAATCCAGTACTTGTTGCGCACCCGGAGCTCATTCGCTGGCAGAGTTGCCTAAGTGCAATATTACACACACTGGCCTGCGCTACGAGAATAGCAAGTCCCAGCCTATTAGGAACCAGAACTGTTGTATCGGCCGTTACGGCCAGGAGAACGACGAGAAGAGCGACAAGGAGAACGAATGTTACCGCTGTCAAGTACCGCATTCTCCAGGTGCTTACTAGTGAGGGAAAACCACGAGGTCAGACTCGGAGCAGGGTCGCAGGCTGGGTGTTTTCCCTTTCTACTAGGCGATACAACGGTCGTTGGGGTAGCCTTCTCTGCTCTTTACTTCCAATATCGCTGCGTTGTTCCGATCACAGGAAGGGAAGGGACATTGCTCTTTGACGAGAATTTTGACAACCAGGTTTGGTATCGGGCAGAGAAGTGAATGCGGGCATAGAAAGGGCAACCCAAGTTGAATTTCAATATGTCTGAGTATAAGGTCATTCGAGAAATCTTGGACCGAATGCTACAGGTCGATTGTGAAAAGGGTTTAAAAATCACCCTTCACATTTTCGACGATTTGGGTAGATTTAAAATTGGCGTCTATCAAGAAATTGAATCCGAACGGCTAATAACGTCTTCAAAGAACCCACAGGCAGCTTCTACAAGTGGGGAGAACGGGGGCCGTATTTTTACCAATACAGGACTCCCTCATAATCTCCATACAGCAGATGAAGTAGTCGTTATCCTGGGTCATGAACTAGGACATGTGGTCGCCAGGCATGTTACTGAGTTGTAAACATAGGCATTGTTCGCCAATTCCCTGAAGGGCGATTGGTGGCTAGATCAAGGCTGCCAATAGATTTGACTCTGTCCAGATTGCAAGTTAGTGAACCTACTAGCTATCAGGGATTGACACGGACTTCACACTTGCTATAGAAGAAATTCACTTTGTTGTTCGAAACAGGGAATACGAGGCAGACCATACAGGGTTGATTATCGTGGCACAGTCTGGCTTTGATCCTCAATGTGGTGCCGTCTCTCTCGACCTAAGAGGCGCCAGGTGAGGGAGCTTAAAGGTCAAGAGCGTTGTCCAGAGTCTTTAGCCACCCATCCCTTAGTCCGTGTTACCAGTTGACCACAGCAAAAGAGGCTGCTAATCGTTTAAAGTTGGAGAACCATTTGAGGGCAGTGCAGGAGCTCTTACCAAAAGCGGAAGCAATTTTCAAGAAAACTCAGAGGTACAATATGAACCTGGAGAATTGGAATGAGTACAAGGCCGCACTCGATGCAAGAAGGGTCCATAGTTTTCGTAAGAACGAATCGGCGATTAAATTGCGATAAAAATATATACCACAAGACCTATAGCAAAGATTAACGAGGGCTGAGGCTCGCTTAACCGATGCTGTTGAGCATTTAAACACCTTTCCCAAAACATAGAGGGTCGCAGCTCCAGCTCAAAGATACCCTTATTGCGAATATGGAAGATATTGTAGAGCACATGGAGCAAGACGCAACGCAAGTTTAATTAGACTGGGGAAAAGAATTGCAGAGTCAAATGTCCTCCTTCCTGAGGCAAGAGCAGTTATAAAAGCTCAGAGCGAGAAACGGCGCGAGGAAGTGACGACGGCCAAAGCAAAAGTTCATTCGAAGGAGGATAGGTAGCGTGCCATGGGGTAGGAGGTTGCTTTATGACCGAGCTGACGCTTGGCCGGAACATTCTTAAGCGAGGAAAAACACGAGCGCAATTTCAAGCTGTTTTGGGACGAGGCTGCGCTAGTTCGGAATCGATCTCTTGTCCACGGTTTCTGTCGAGATGAATGGGGATGGTTTCACTCTGCTGGGTCGTGAAACTTCTTGCACCTGCAAATCGATTAATCGTTTATTCGGAGCTGAACTAAGGCATCCTGCCTACGTATGGGCTGTCCAGCGTTTAAGAGGCTCTAAACAGGGCTACATCTTTAGCCAAACTGCGCTGCCAGCAATATGGGATGCGGTGGGATCTGCTTCAAGGACCAGGACAAACTCAACGAGAGCAACACCAAGACTGCGTCCACCAGTCTTCGACAGTAGATCGGGGCTGGCGGCAAAAGTCTGGGCAGCCACCAGGTTATCTAGTCCATCTCCGGAAAGGTCGCCGCATACTGCTGCAACAATCGTGCCGCGGGCAATACATGCTACCAGGAATATCAGTCTCGTACGTTTGAGAATCTCATCGCTCCCTCCCTCTTCTGGGTGTCTCGACACTTCTGATGAAGTTGAATCTCATCGTCACTCATCCCCGATATTTCACACATGTCTGGCAGCTGCTAACTAAACTACACCGTGATGTAGAAACGAGGGGATCACAGGCGTGTGCGGATCCTACGAACCTGGGTTTGCCTATGATCGGGGCGCTCACCTCACGTACGGATACCAGCACAGGAACTACGACTTCTGCCCCAAAAATTATTGATGAAGGGCGCTGATTTCGAGGAGGAAGGTTGAAGCTCAGAGCTTGCTTTATTCGGGGAGGAGATGGCTCAATGTCAGCTGTTACACCGTGCGAAGATCTATCCGCCGCTTGAGATCTTTCTTTCTTGTTGCCCTAGAAGTTGGCTAGCCTAAATCTTGAGAATTCGACACCTCTTTGAGACGATGCTACGTATGCATAAGAATAGCTGTTGTCTCTGGCTATATTTAGTGAGACCTGTGGATTATTCCCCGGAAACAGACCTCGCTAGCGATCTCTTTCGCCAGGGATTCGAATCCTCACCGTGAATCGCTCGATCTGGGCACAAGTGAGCCAGATATCTATGAGCATGACCGAGCCGAAATCCCAAAAATGCCACATTATTCCTTGGTATTGTGTCAAGCTTACTCTCCGAAAGCATGGCTCTAACTGCTCAGCCGATTCCACTATCGTCGACCAGCAACACAGATTCTCAGGGCCTTTGGTCGTTTTTGATTCTTAGTCAGTTTTGTTTACTTTCGCGTACCTGTCCCCCCGCAGCTCCAACTGGTTGTTTGTAAAATTACTAGGAACAAGTCCAAGTTGGCAACCCCGAGAACGGACAGGGTACCATTGAGCATCGCTGATACCGTTCTAGAGCTGGGAAGAGGTGGGTGAGGCTCGTCGACAGCCATTGTTGCATGGTAGCTATGCATCTACTGAACATGACATTGTAAATTGTAAATTGTAAATTGTTGTCGTTGTTATTGCAGTTGCAGGGTTGGCGTTCAATATAGCCGAGCCGACCATATCGAAAAGGGGGGGATCTCGCCAAGGCCCGTGCCGCGTGCAGCCACTCGCCCCTGCCTTCCATGAAGCACGTTACTTGCAATCATGACGTCCACGAATAACAGGTAGAGGTACTTACTCCTTAGCCCAGAAGGCTAGCTGGTCCTTTGATAGCTTCATTCCGAAGACCCTTCAAACATCAAAATACTCGAATCTCTCAATTCGACATCAACCTACAAAATGGCTCTATTCCGCACAACCACCGCTCTCTCGAGCTTCGCCAGAAGAGCAGCTCCATTGAGAATCCTTCAACCAGCGAGCTTTCGATTCATATCATCAACAAGCCCACGCTCTGCAGCACAAGGATATGGCGACGGAAAGGGTGATCCCAGGGGCGAGAAACCCCAAGGCCAGGGACCTTCCAACAATACCAAACACAATGCCGAGCACCCAGGACCTGCTCCTCCCAGCGTCGGAAAGTACACAGGAGCTGGCCCTACTAAGGGTGGTGCATCTCCAGAGGATGCTTCCGCGCAATCAGGAGGATCGAGGAGCAAAGAAGCGATGGAGACAGGATCCAGCCCAACGGGAGGATCCATAGGCGGAAGCGGAGGTAAGAGCAGCAACCCCGAGGAGAAGAGCAAGGACGGGGCGAAGCCGAAGATTGCGGACCACGACGTGCCTGGATCGGGAAATTCGAAGGACAAGCAAGCTGAGGTCGAGCAGCACAATAAGGAGTTCGAGCAGCGTCACGACCGGGCTGCTCCGGCGGCGGACGACAAGGTGGACAAGAAGTTCTGGAAGGGTGGGTCTTCCAGTATGGGGTCTGGTAGAAACATGCTAAGATAAATTTAGGGAAGGGAGGTTCAGTCGATCATGAGTAGCGGATGGAGGTGGACTGCACGATGGGGATTTTGAAGTTGTCCGCTGTTGTTGTCAGAAAGAAAGGCTTTGGTGGCAATTTGAATGCTGTATACTGTATATGCGATTTTCCCGTAGAACTGTTGTTCTTCTTCCTGGAAGATTGCAGCATTTTCTAGAAGTTTTGATTCGAACCAATTAACCAAACCACATGATCCTATGACATTGATATGTGGTTGTGGTTGTGGTTGTGGTTAGGTAGGCACTTAAGCTTTCGCGTAAACGCTTGCTTCAGTCAACATGGCCATGAATGTCCTCCTGTCGTACCGGTATGTAAATAATTGACTTTCCATCACAGCCACATGCCAAAGTCCAGCACCAGCCCCAGCCCCAGTCCCAGTTCCCAGTTCCCAGTTCCCAATTCCCAGTTCCCAGTTCCCAGTTCCAGTCCCCGTCCCCGCAACAGCAAGCTTAGTAGCCCGGATATGTGGCGTTCTGACGGCCACTAGCAGGGCATATCCCATGACATCAGGCCGAACAAGCTCGCCCCACTCCTGATTTCGTCAGACAAGCTCGAAGATCAGGAAAGCTGTTTTCATGCTGCAGTACCGGTAATTCCAAGCTGACACTTCGACACCTTCCCGGAAAAATAAAAGGATTGAGATTGGCCAAGACGTGCTGATCGGCCGGGGAAGGAAACAAAGCCACCAGCCACACTGACGTCACCCTGTTTCCCCGCTAGCGAAAACGACCGATTGCCTTTTGGGACTAACGTGCCCTTTCAGCAACTGCATCAACAAGCTTCCCTTCCGCTCTTTCTTCCCAAAACATAACACCATAATAATAGTATCAAGGTGAGGACTTAGTAGCACAACTACAACCACAACCACAACCCTAACAACAACTCAACTCAATCACCCACATCTACAACGACATCACAGATACTGAGGATCTTCAGCCAACATGAAGTTCTTCTCCCAGCTTCTAGTGCTGGGTCTCGCTGCAGAGGGCGCCGTTGCCAGCAGCTGGTTCAGCAAGTCTGGTACGTTTTGTTTCGAGCTCCTCCTATCTGCCTCATCACTTCCTAGCCTTCTCTCGATCATATCCATCTCCAAGCTTCGCAAAGCTTCATCTCTAATTCTCGAGCTTCGGTCTCTTCCTGCTGAGCTCCCATCTCCTACCCATCTGCCAGGACTCTCTGAGCATATCATATCACTTCATTTGTACAACCCCTTCAAGTCAACAACACTGAAATTCTACAGTCTACAACAATTGGCACGAAACCGAGCTCGAGAGATGGTTGTCGGATCACGACGTCCCTTACCCTACCCCGTACGACCGAGCTCAGCTTGAGACCGCCGTCAAGGAGAACTGGCAAACCAAGGTCTCCAAGCCATACAGTGACTGGGACACCAAGCAGCTCAACTCCTACCTCAAGCAAAAGGGTGTTGAGACCAAGGACGCCGCTGCGAGCAACAAGGATGGCCTGATCGCTTCCGTCAAGAACGTTTGGTACGAGGCCGAGGACAAGGCTGAGGATGCCTGGTCGAGCGTTACCAACTGGATCTTTGACAGGTAAGGTCTTCTGCGATGTTCCGCTGAGCAACTGCTGATATTCACAAGCTGGACCGAGTCTCAATTGAAGGCTTTCGCCGACAAGCATGGCATCCCCGTCCCCCAACCACGCAAGCGAGACACCCTCCTCCAAAAGATTCGATCTAGCTACGAGACCATTGCACAGAAGGCTGGCGAGACCGCTGCTTACCCTGGCAACTGGATCTACGAGTCCTGGACTGAGTCTGGTAAGTCCTACTACTCAGGATTATGCAAATTCAGAGTTGCTAACGAACGTCACAGACCTCAAGGAATTTCTCGACACTCATGGCATCCCAGTTCCTCAGCCAACCACCCGTGACAAGCTGATCGCTAGTGTCCGCCGCAACGCCCGTATTGCCAGCTTGAAGACTGCTGATTTGCAGGCTTCCGCTTCCAAGTCTGCTGCCGCTACTGCTGAGACTCTGAGTGACAAGCTTTTGGACTCTTGGTCTGATTCTCGTAAGTGGATATATCACCTCTGTGTTCAGGTGAGCTCGCTAACGATTCGAGACAGAAATCAAGGAGTGGGCTGACAAGAACGGTATCAATGTTCCACAAGGCAGCCGCAGAAACGAGCTCTTGGCGATTGCTCGCAAGCACCGAGCTCAACTTACCGGAGATAATGTATTGCACTCCGCAAAGAGCTTTGCAAGCAAGGCTAGTGCTTCTGGAGAATCTGCCTTCGGAGCTGCTACAACTGCCGCTGGAAATCAGTATGCTAAGGCCACCGATGATGCGGCATTGAAGGCTGAGCATCTTTTCAACGAGGCTTCCGCGACCTGGAGCGAGGTGAGTTGAAAGCATCTCTATCATACCAAGCAGTGCTAATTATGGCTCTCAGTCTCGCCTCAAGGCATACCTTGACTCCCGAGGTGTCCCAGTTCCACAGAGCGGAAAGAAGGATGAGCTTTTGGCTGCCGTTCGCCTGAACAGACACAAGGCTGCCACCGGCTGGTCGGCCTGGACTTTCGATACATGGACCGTCGACAACTTGAAGGCGTATCTCGCATCCTCTGGAAATGCTGCCGCCGAGAAGGCAAGCGAGCAAGCTGACGCCACTCGCGAGCAATTGCTCTCGGCTGCCCAGGATGCTTACGCTTCTGCCTCCAAGACAGGCGGTGTTGGCTATGCTTCCGTCACTTCATACCTTGCTAAGCAAACAGATGCTGCCAAGGATTCGATCTTCGACAGCTGGTCCGAGTCGGAGCTCAAGAACTACTTGGACTCCTACGGGTTCAATGTTCCGCAGGGATCCACAAAGAACCAGCTCATCGCATACGCCCGCAACTATAGAAACTATTTCCAATACGGTACAACCACTCCTCAGGGAACTCTCTGGGCCAAGCTCCAGGACTCCTTCGCCTGGGTCAAGAACCAGATTAGCTATGGTGCGGCCTCTGGACGCCAGTACGCTGAGAAGCAAGCCGAGAAGGGCGCAGACTCCATCAAGGAGGGAGCAACCTACGCCAGCCACCGTGCTGGCGAGGCCGCTCAGAAGGCTGGTGACCGCATCAAGGAGGAGTTGTGATTGCATTCACCAAGAGGAGATAGCTGTGGTGGAGGAATTGACATGAACTGATGACAGTGTATAACAGTCCTACGAGCGTTTGCTTTGCGGGTGGAGTCGAGGTAGTCCGGGGTTTCTTTTCTAAAATTGGCTCGTCACAGTACTCCGGCCTGGGATAATCGTAATGAGCACAAAATGATATTATTTGATGATTTGAGATGATGGTTAGTGCCGAAGTACCTGAAGACCTGGTTCCGTGATTGCTTGTCGGGAATTTACCAGGTAAGATGCAGGAAGTGACTGTTCTTCCCAGCTATATCTCGCATCCAATTGGGCACCGTCAAGCTGATAATTTCAACGCAATGGAATCATGCGAGGTTGCGAATGAATTCCCTCGTGCAGAGATTCTTGCTTACCTACATTAACCTCGATCAATGTCGTCTGCTGGATAAAGCCGCTAGTACATTACTCCGTACTTAGCGAAAGGGCCAGTGCGAGTCGGTTTTATAGCGAGGCCCGATGAAAAGCCTCCTCCGACCCACAACAACCCCAGGCCGAAAAAGTGTCCGGGCCATGCCGGCCATGCCACAGCAAAACGGGCCCACTAAACGGGCCCACTAAACACGCCAATTGGCTTGCGGTTGAGAGAGATGACGTTGATGTAAGGAGCAAGTAGGGCCCAGTGGAGAGCAGTTGGTTCAGTTGGCCCAGTTGCAGGTGAATCAGGTCAGCTTCTCGTTGTGATCACTACACATACTTACATATACCATTTATCACTTACGCTTCTATTCTCGTTCAGCTTGTTCTATTTACCTTTTGCTATATCGTACATTTACGTATTTCACAAGTAATTGTATCGAAGCTGGGTGGCCCTCTCACTCTCACTCTCTCTCTATCTCTCTTCAAAGGCGAATGCCTATCTCCCACCTCAACCCTCACTGCCGGAGCTGCTGCTATTGATTGTTTTGAATGACTGACTGACTGACTGACTGACTGACTGCTGCGACCATGACCTCTTCCTTCCCACACGACATCCTTTCTCCACGCGCCAGGCTGGGCCGGCCCTCCTCCAGCAGTCAGAAGACGAGCGATCGCTTGCGCGAGCGCGAGCATCGCCCTTCTCCTCTGTCGATAAGTAGTACGCGTGCAAAGCTCTACTTCAGTAATAATCAGCGGCCGCAGCAGCAGCAGCAGAGGAGGAGCGTGTTTAGAGAGGAAGGGCTTGATGATTTGAGCTGCAGTGTGCATCGGGATGGGCCGCATATTGATTTGGGGGGCTCAAACGAGGCTGATGCTGTTGCGGTCGCGGTCGCCTATGCTAGACACACAAAGGAGGGAGACGAGGGTGGGAAGGAGCAGCAGGGTGCGGTGAGGGGGAGGGTGCAAGATATCAAGACGGAAGAGGTGGGCGATGGGAGTGCAAATGCAAGTGGAAATGGGCAGCCGTCGTGGTATGCAAAAATCGCAGAGGGGAGTCGCCTGCTTCGCAAGAGCTCTGCAACGGCGCTGCCTGGGAATATCTCTTCTATACCAAGGTTTGCCTTGATTGCGGTGTTGCTTACGCTCGTGGTGCCTGGGTTTCGGTATACTGGTGGAGAGGGGAGGGACAGTGCTGCTGGGGCGGGAGCGGATGCGGGCGTTATACGGAGTGCCGAGTTTGTGGATAATGCGTCGACGATTGAGGGGAGGGCGAGTAGTCCGACAGATATCTGTACCCGGTGGAGTAACCAGAGTAGGTTTCACGGCACCGGGCGTGTGTTTGGTGGGTAATGGGTACTGGGACTGACGGGCTGCTAGTTGCGAATGTGAATGGGACGGTGTATATCTATGGTGGGCGGGCGAAGACGAAGAGTGGACAGACTTCTGGAACATGGAGTACGTTGATACGGTTCAGTGTGGTGGGCGTAATTTTGCTAACTGGAATCTTTAGATAATGACTTCTTAAGTTTGGACTTGACCAAGACTTGGGAAAGAGATTCCCCAGCATTGAAAGGTCTTCCGAAGCCCTCAGGTCCTCCCGCTGTAGCTATGGGCGCATTATGGCACTCCTTTACATCCTTGTTCATGTACGGAGGACAGTTCTCCGACAACCCCCCAGAGTCCCCTCTCCCAGTGTCAACGTGGGAATATAATATCGGTGCAGGGACCTGGAAGGAATGGGCGAATCCGCAGACCTCTGCCGGAAACCACTCTGAAGCGGGGGGGTTGAGTGTGCAGAGGTCTGCCGAGGGGTCTGGGATCAGTGTGCCTGAGCTGGGCAAGAGCTGGTACTTTGGGGGCCACTTGGATCTCTATACGACCCAGGGGTGGTCAAATCAGATTGCTAGGGTGTATCTGAAGAGCTTGCTGGAGTTCACGCATCCCGGGTATGCAAATTCCGGTGTTGAGTCTTTGGGCACCTCCAACGCTGCGCCGAGTGGAGGTGTGTACAGAAATATTACAGGAGGTGGGTTGCAGGATGAAGCTGGCTTCACCGAGAGGGCTGATGGTGCGCTTGTCTACATTCCTGGATGGGGAAGCGAGGGTATCATTCTCGGCTTGGCTGGAGGCACTAATGAATCATTTGTGAGTCTCCAAGCCTACATAGGCTGGTATTCCTGGACTGACTTTCACCCAGACCGAGATGGATACGATCGATATTTATGATGTTGCGAATAGCACGTGGTATAAGCAGGCGACATCCGGAACAAGCCCTCCTATCCGCGTCAATCCATGCGTAGGAGTGGTGGCCGCTCTGGACGGGACATCTTTTCAAATTCATCTTTACGGTGGACAGAATCTCATACCGTTCGGAAGCCAGATTCAGTACTCCGATATGTGGATCCTAACGATTCCGTCCTTCACCTGGATCCAGGTCGACATGGACGGGCAATCTGTACCGCACGCCCGTGCAGGCCATCAATGCATCATGTGGGATGGACAGATGGTTGTTATCGGTGGTTACGTGGGCAAGGACATCTCGTGCGACAGTCCAGGAATCTACATCTTCAACGCCTCCTCCCTCCAATGGCAAAATTCTTTTGTGTCACTTTCGTCATCTTCCTCCGGGTCCTCTGCGGAGACAGACGACCAAGGCTGGTCCATCCTCCAAGGCTCGCGAGGCTACCAAGTCCCAGCTGTCGTCCAATCCATCATCGGTGGCTCCTCCCAAGGTGGAGCAACAGCCACCAGCCCAGCCGTAGGCGCCGCAACCGCGGGCCCCATCGCAACGGGCAAACCTCCGATTTTCACAGTCACGCAGTCCGGCTCAATCGTAACCCAAACCGCTCAACCTACCTCAACAGGCTCATCCAAATCGGGAACTAATGTCGGCGCAGTCGCAGCTGGCGTAGTTGCCGGTCTTCTCGCTCTTCTAGCTGGCTACCTAGCTTTCTGTTCGTGGTTGTACAGGAAACAGCTCGGAATGTACAAAAACCATGTAGCGATGGCGCAACGGACAGCGTTTACGAATAGCCCCGAAAACGAGAATTGGAGCTCTGAAGCTGAGCCGAGCGATCTCGCCGCGGCAAAGGGTCGAGAGAAGCCTGTGGGTTTTATGCTCGGTCCGTTTGGGACCGAGATTGGAGGCAGTGGATCCGGGAGCGCGAGTGCTAGTGCGGACCGCTCGTCGACGGGTTCGAGGCTTGCTCCTGGTAGTGTGGAGAACAGCAGCGTGTATGGGAGTGGGGGTGCGTACGGCGGCGGCGTGATGCCTGGGGCGCACTATGGGCGGATGAGCGAGGGCGATGAGGGGATGGAGTATGATCTCGGTGCTGGGGGGCGGCCGCAGTATCTTGGAGCTGGGCGGCTGAGCCACAGTTACGGGAGGCTGGGTGTCCAGACGGCGCATTCGAGCGTGGAGGATCTCCTGGGGGGTCAGGAACCGTCATTCTTCAGCGTGGTGTGGAACCCGCGGAGAACGCTGAGGGTTGTGAATCTTGATTGAGGCGCTGGGCTGGGCTGGGCGATGTGGTGCTCGATCGGCGTTGGCCTGACGTGGATATGTGGTTAAACATGGTCTGGGTATCCACGGCTCGACTGGCATACAAGGCGCTACCTATGATTCGAGTGGTCACAGCTATCTACGGATTTCGTTTGCTTCGGGAGTGGAGTTGGCACCGAATAGGTCCGACGTTGGAAATTTGAAGATCTGTGTGTGTATATTTGGGGCGGGTCGGCCAAGGCGATTCTGAAGATACCGTTCTGTTAAACTAAGTAGCTTTTATTACGCATGATATGATACCCCCTCCCCCACTATTTTATAATTCTTCTATCTGTTCAGCAACTCGTAGCAGCTATACTATAGCTGAAGAAGACAAAAATCATGGGCAATGAAATTTACAGAGATGATAAAACCAGATGGGATATCTCGCGCTTCCCTTCCTGTTTTACCATGCATGTACGTCTGTCTAAACGTTTTGATCTTGTCGAGGTAATATAAAATTAAATCAAATTGGAAACCAAGATTGCCAATAACCACTCTACTCCGCAAACAAATTTACATGTGGGATGATTGATCTCTCGATAAAGGTAGGAACGAAATAAGAATGAATTATTATTAGCTGCAGGATTTACCTATCCGCCACCAATAATAGAAAATTTCGAATTACGGTTCCCCATCACAAAGAGAGAGAGAGAGAGAGAGAGAGAGAAAGAGATATATATACTTCTTGTTCATCTGTGCAACTGCTTGCTCTACGGAGGGATCTTGGATTCTATCCATCTGCGTTTTAGATTTTCGATTTAATTCATCATTCATCATTCATTATTCATCATTCATCATTCATCGTTCATCATCTAGTCCTCTCTCTCTCTCTCTCTCCTTCCGTCTGCAAACAAAGCTTGTTTTATTCTTTGATTCCGCCCGCCTCTCTCTCTGTCTCTTCCTCGTTCAGCTTCGCATAATTATTCAGATACGATGGTACGAGCAAAGAAGCCGGCCTCCTTCGCGATCTTCCTGCTCGCCGTCAACTTTCTCTTCAGCAGAGCTCGAGCTCAGGGATGTTTTTCTTGGCGGGGGGGTTGCAATCATGCTGATGGGAGACGAGGTGTGGTTGTCGTTGGCTACGCGGTCGTTTCGGAAGTGAGTTTGGCGAGG